GGCGTCATCCTTGGCCAGCGTGGGCCGAAAGCATCAGATCCACTGTGCAGTGCCTGAGAGTGGCACCAATGATTTCCAAAGCAGAGCAGTGCTGGCACATGGGCTGCAGCAGCACTTCCACCTCTTCCCAACATTTCTCACGTGCCTGTTCCATAGGCATCCTCTTATATTGGGAAAAGCAAATGCAATTTCTATTATTACCCTACGGGCCTCTATCACTTTATGCCATACAGAAGCAGGCTTATGCCAGGGGCTGTTCACATCCCACCAGTGAGCAGTTATCGCCACTGCTTTGCTCGGGAGCCCTCTGGCAATGCTGTGGGCCGGCAGCTCCCAGCAGAGCTTAATGGCAGCAGGAGCTCCAGTTGCTGCTCATGGGGCATCAGGAGGTGGGAGTGGGACGCGAGCAGCTGGGAAGTCATTGCCACGCAGTGATTTTCCACTTTAAGCTACGTGCAGGCAGAGTTCAGGAGGAGAGCAGCCGCTCACAGAGCAGGCATTTGCCCTGTTGGCATAGTGGGAAGAGTAGCTCTTTTATTTTAATGATGCTGAATTGATAGGCAAGTGCCAGAGGGCTGCAGAGGCCGTGCCAGAAGGGGACGTGGTGCTGCCCACAGCATCTCCTGCTGCACAGCAGTGCTTGCACCCTCTGACAGCAGCTTCAGCCCCGTGCTGAGCCCTGCTGCTCCTGGGGCAAAGTGCTGGGGATGGGACGGCCCCGAACCAAGAGCCCAACTGTGCAATGATGAGCAATGCAGAACAGTATGGGAGCCATTATATATGTGAGCACATCCAGCCCGGCTTATAAATGACATCCAACACAGCAGCCCTGCCACAGACACGCACAAATAAAAGCACCACTGGGTGATGGTGAGTGTGATGAAGGCGAGTTATTTTCAACAGGGCGGCTGCTGCTCCTGCTTTAAGGAACACTGGGTGAGTTATTAATACAGCACAGGGGCACGTGCTGTGACCAGAATGAAAGGGAATGCCCTTCCCTGCAGCTCAGGTTCCATAGCTGGCTGTCCCCAGCCTGCAGCACCGCCACAGCCAGCAGGGCAAAGCAGCAGCCCTGCGCCAGGCTGGGCACAGAGCATCACCCTGCTGCTCTCAGGATCCCCAGAGCTGCCTGGGGTCTGTGCGTTTCCAGCAAAGGAGACACCTGTGAGTGCTGAACACCTTGGCTGATGCTTACGACACTCGGTTCAGTATATACACCACAGCCAAATAAACATTCAGAGGACCGATTGACACAGAGTTGCAAAGCTCCTACATCTGCTGAATTGGAGATGACCCTGCTGGAAGACCTCCCAGCGGTGTTGGTGTGTCAGTGCGTAATCCGGCCCATTCTCCAGCCTCATTTCATCAGAAACAGAGCAGCAATTGGCCAGGAACCATCCAGACTGCAGCAGGTCCCGGCAGGAGAAGGGCCCACAATGCACACAGGCAGCATCTGTACGTGGAAAAAGCAGCATCAGCAGAACACTGACCAGCAGGTTCCACTTCCTCACAGGAATCACAGAATGGCTTGGGTTGGAAGGGACTTCAAGGATCACAAGCTCCAACCCCCCTGCTGCAGGCAGGAATGTCACTGTGCTGCTGTGACATTAACCTTCCTGAAGCAGAGCAGTGACCACCCGGCCTGAGGTGCTGCTGGGGTGGTGATTAGCAGCAGCACGCTGAGAGCACGTACAGCAAACACACAGCAGCAGCCACAGCCCTCACTGCTCACAGCCAGGCTGCACCACCTGCGCTCTGTGCTCTGCCTACAGCCTCCAGCACCAAAAGCAACCCAGCAGCTAACTGGGAACGCAGCAGGAACAGGGACACGTTTGTCTTTGGGGCCCTCCTGGCTCCATGCCACACAGTAAGCGAGCTTTGCCTCACCCACGTGTAGCACATGGCCACGGTGGCAGCTGCTTGCTGAGTGGAGCCATGCTGTACTTCTGGCCCAGTTTGGGTTCATGCAGACAGCTGAGAAACGCCTGCCAGGTGCAGCATTCCTCCCAGCACTGTGAGATGGCCTCCCACATTCAGTCCTTCCACATTCAGCCCCATGCAATGGGTTCACAACACAGCTACTGTGGGCCCTGGAGGCTCCCACGACGTGAGGACCATGGTACCCATGGCTGTGCCCATGCACAGCACAACTGTACCCCACAGCGTGCCAAGGGCTGGGTGCTGCGCTGGGGGAATGCTGCTGTGCTCCTCCCCAGGCCCTTTTTGAGCCACTGATGGCACAGACAGGGCAGGCACTGATCACACTGGGGCAGCGAGCAGCCAGGTGTGCCCAGCAGCACAGAGGGGCGTTCGCAGGGCTGAGAGCAGCCAAGCACTGCCACAATTTTTGGGGACACCACAAAAACCCAATGGAAGCTTCAGACAAACACTCACGCACAAAACATCGTTATGAACAGCACATTCCTTCCCTCCCTCAGCCCGCATGGCTGCAGGAATGCGCTGCCCTCAGACCCACGCTGCCACTGAGCTGGGCTGGGGCACTGCCCTCTGCTGCAGCGTGGAGGCCCGGGGCAGAATAGGGGAGGAAGAGAATGTGCAAAGAGCTGCACCTCTTTCCCACCCGATTGCAGCCTCAGAGCCCTGCCAAGGCAGGTGCCCCAACCCACAGGGCGCAGCACAGCCTTGTGCAGAGCAGCCGTTGCTACGGGGATGCTGGAGTGCTGATGAAGTGGCAGCAGCCACAGCCCGGCTGCATTCGTTTCCCTGAACGAGGACTGTTACAAGGAGAGGGAGATTATAAATAAGTGCATGGCATGAATTCTGAGACAGCAATCCAACGTGCCAGAATAAGATGCAGAAAGAACCGAGAGCACCGCGCACGGGAAACCATCGGTTCCCTTCGAACTCCCTCTCCCTGCAGAGCCCACGCGCTCAGTGCGGACCCCTCCTGGCACAGCGCGACAGCAGCAGCAGCACCGCTCCTCGTGCAGGGAGGGAAGGGCAGCACAGCAGCAGGGAAAGGACCCCGCACCTCCGGGCCGCAAAGGAAGCGCGATGCGCTGCCGCCAGCTGCGAGCGACTCTGCAGCCAAAACACCGGGAGCACGAGGAGCACAACTCACACCGCCCCACGCGGGCCATGGAGCCGCAGACACAGCCGTGCCCAAGCGCGGGGCTGCACCGAGGATGGCACAGAACCTCTCCCCTGCAGCCCAAGGGCTGCCGCACCGGCCCCCATTTCGGGCTGCGGGGACATCACTTGTCTGTATCCGAAACGCTTCGCTCGAGCTGCGGCGCCTCTCCACGCTTTGCCCTGGGAAGCACCTGCCGGCTCGGGGCGAGCTGCTTCCACACAAGCAGTGGCTGAAGAGCACAAATTACAGCTGTGGCTTCTCAGTTTTGTGCAGTCACACAGGACACGTACCCCCAGTCAATTACCAGTCCTGCTCGCTGCACTGGAGCTCAGTGCTTGCACTTTGCCCTCCCTAGCAGCTGTGCTCACAAGGGCCAAGGTCCTCAGGATTGTCTTCCTTAAGATGAAGGGCCAGCCCCCCTCAGCGGAGCTCCTCCAGAAGTGATTACAACATTGTAGCAGGCAAATTATTTACAAGCCCCTCGCTCAGCAGAAAGCTGAGAAGCAAAGTCAGCTCCGTGTGACAGGGAGCTGCAGCAGCCAGGGCTCCTGGCTGAGAGCGCCCCCCCTTCTGCTGAAATAATGACTGAAAAACACCAAACTTGAGCTATCATTTATTCAACTGGAGACACGAAGCTCAGGAAGCTCTACAGCTCCCTGCCCCCTGCAGCTCTACAGCAACTCTTCAGCACTGCTCGCCCTGCTTTCACGGCCCCAGGTGATGGTTTCCACACTGAAGGACTACGAGTTAGAGAGCAAACCTCCACCCCATCACCAGTCTCTCTGCTCGTTCTTTCAGGTTTACAACACTTCTGAAGTCTGCAGTGATCAGCTGAAAAGTAAATCTAGTTAATATGAAAATAACTCCCTTGGCTGAGCCAAGAGCCCCGTGCTACAGAACAAGCCACCGCCAGACTTCTACCTAAGTCAAAAACAAATAAGGAAGAAGCTGGGATTTTGTTTAATTCCTCTCTAAATAATTTCCCTTCTTTTCAAAAAGAGCCCTGCTTTTCTTTCTGACATAACACCATATTAATTCACAAGGCTGGACACTAAATACCACAGAGACAGAATTCCAAGGATTTCTCTAAAGCGCAGGTAAATTCCTGTGCTGAAATGGGAGTTTTTCCTCAAAGAATCCAACTTGAGTAGCTTCAGTGCCTTTCTCCTTCCTTGAATACTCCTTTTCAACTTTGGAAACCTCAACCAACGTTTCAGTGAAAGGAAAGCAGCACCCTTTAAAGAAAAAAATCACATCCCTTAACAGCAATAATTTAATGGTCGTTTAAAAGAATGCCCATCCTCATTTGACACCCAAGCATAGGAAACATCACAGCTCCTCCTGCAGCACAGCTGCTCTCAGCCCCAGGCGCCCGCTGCCTCCTGCTCTGCAACAGCCCAGAGCTCCCACAGGCACCTGATTTCTTCCTTTCCTCTTCTCCACCCTCTCAAAGTGCAACATCACGCTGCTCAGCACGTTCAGCAATTCCACCCCAATTACCAAGCATTTGCAGTGTTTGTAGCAGAAAAGGGCAGTCTTCTCCATAAATACAAATCAGGTGTATTTACACTTTAACAGGACCCGCTTACATCAGCTTTGGGTCCACCTGCATTGGTACAGAAGAAAGAAAATCCAAAGCCCATTTTCAGACAAAAAAAAATAAAGACATTTTCACAGCAGCTCTTCCACCCCCAGAGCTCCCCCTCGGCCTCCTTACAGAGAACAGCAGGCAACACCAAGAACTTCTGTACAATCTTCAGCAACAACGTGCCAGCCCTCAGCCAAGCCCTAAGCTGAACTACAAATGACAGGCGTTTGCACAGGGCTCTCCAGGCAGGAGACGTCCTACTGGAGAAGAAAACTCCCCCCCTCCTTTTATAAAAAGTGTTGAGAAAGAAAATATAGAAAAGTTTCTCACATTTCATTCTAGGTACAAAGGAACAATACGCAGATCTGCTTGCATTTATGTGGAAACACCAACCATGTAAACAAATGAATGTCACATACAAGCAACCTGGATCAGAATTTGTGTCCTGCTTCGTAACAGCCACCACCTCCACTAGATTTATTTTCCTTCCTCCAGCCAACCCACTCTAAAACTTTCAGACCCACACCTGGTTTGCTGTCTTACCATCAAAACACTTCAACTCTCAACGTCTCAATCATCTTTCAGAGATACATTCTGTACTCCCAGAGCTTCTACTTCCACCTCTAATGGATACAGAGTATCAGGCAGGGCCCTGCTGCAAAGCAGCCTTCACTGTTTTCCCAGGACTTCTTAATCTCGAGGAACACAAGAAGATTGATAATTATCTACTTAAGCCCCCCCTCACTGGATGTGTGGATTAGTCAGCATTGCCACAGAGTTGGAAACATTTGGCTAAAACACACTTCTTGGTGCTGAAGAGGGCAGATAATAAATACAGAGAACGTTAACAGGAGCAAAGGCAGTCAGTCCCCTTCTGCCCAGCTCTAGTTAACAGCAAACTGGACCCGACTTATTTTTTGCTGAGATCTGATTTCGAAGTGAAAGCTTGCAGTCTTGTGATGCATTTTATATACATTTCACCGCTCTGTAAGTGAACAAAAAAGGACAGTAGTCAAATTCCTCCTTACCCACCCAACACATAACAGTAATGTAAGGCATGTTGTCCTGAGCAAGAATCCAAGCGTGAGCAAGAACCCTGCCAGGCAGTGCGATCCTGTAACTTCACCATCAGGCTCCTGAAGTCCCAAGACCTCTCCCTCTGTTCCTCAGGCAGAATATTCCCTGTCACAGTGTGCATTTCTTATTCAACACAACTAAAGAGCAGGGCTAATTAAACAAAAAAAACTCAGTAGCCAGACTTCCATCTCTCTCAAGAACACGCGACCAGTCTTGCAGTTCTTGGCTTTATCCCACAAGCAGCCTCGTTAGACCACCTCCATAGACAAATTAACAAGAGACAAAGCCGACATCAACTGCAGCGTCCGTGCAAGACTTCAGGCTGTGTCACACTGTCTCCTCTGACCGGACGTCACTGGGGTGTGAAGGTGAGAATCATCCAACTGATGACGAAGTAGAAGAGGAAGATGGGGTACACGGCCAGCGCCTTGCGGTGCGGAGGCTGGCTGTCAGCCAGGAAGGCTGTGGATGCTGGGGCAGAGGGAAAGAAAAACACCTGAAACAGCACAGAACTGAAACATCAACACTGCAGCTGTTAAGCTTGGAGAGCTTGATGAGGATGAAGTGGAAGGACAGAAAACAAAGCAAAGCGTAGCTCCGTAACAATGGCCTCCGACTGCAAATCAAAGCTCTATCACGTAGAAGAACAGGTGCTGATTAGCATTCTGTATGAGATTCAGCCTAACAGATTAAGAACAAGGGAAATAATTCAAACACCTGTATGAGATGAATGTTCTTTAACAGCTCTTTATAACAGAACTGATGGAATGAAACACGCAGCACTTCACACAAAGTTCAGTATTAGTTACTGTCCTCCCTCCAATGGCAGTTTGTATGCGACCATGAAAATCACCAGGAGTGCAATCAAAGGCTGAATCTCTGCCAACAGAAGGATTGGAAGAACTATTTCTGCAGTACTGCAGCAGCCTAGCAAACACCTGAAACTACGGAAAACCTTTGGCTTCATTCGGCAGAATGCAAACAGAGCCACTCCTTTAAGATCAGCACTCAGCACACAGCAGTGCTGGCACTCACAGGAACTTACCTAACGTGGACCAGGCAAACATAGCAATCACTACAATCAGGCGTATGATGAAGCTGACAGTGCCAGAGCCTGCCAGCAGCACCAGCCTGCACACCAGCATCGCCACCGTCAGGGGCAGGACGCAGTAACCCAGAACACACAGGCTCTGAAAAAAAGATCTACAAAGGAGGGAGGGAAACAGTTAGAGCACAGCACCCCTTCAGACTTCATACCTGAAGCACTGCAACTGTTGCTACAAGACAGCACTCACATAGTTCCTCCCAGGAGCTTTGAGTTTAGTGTGATGACAACGGCACCAAACCAGATGATGACGAAGACCTCAGCAAACTGGGGCCCTCCGTCCTCCTTGCTGTCTGCTGATCCCCCCTGCAGCATCCTGTTGTAGACAACAGATACAAGGAGTCAACTGCAATTGATGACTGAGCTTTTGCAAACTTAGAACAGATGACAATAGGAAACTGGAGATGCTGATTCCTAGTAAGACTGTAGACTGTAATTATTTTTATTTTTGATATCCTCAATTTTGCACAGGAAAAGAAAATGATTGCTGCCCGACTGAAGGCACTTCAGCCATTCACATACTTGTTTTCAGGACCGTGTAAGCACATCAGAGAAAATCACAGATAAAAGCCAAGAAAACGAACATGAGAAGTTTGGCAGCCTCTCAGAACAGGCTTGAGAAAAGAGTTATGCCTTAAGGAAAGCTCTCAGCAAGAACAGGATGCAAGCAATGCAACACAGCACCTGGAAAAGTCAGCACGTACAGACCTGAAGGTTCAATTCACATGGTACATTTCTGATAAAGGATTTTACTAAATGCCCTCTGGATGCTGAGCTCTGCAGGTCTTTACCCAGGTGGCAGATGTCAAAGGATCTACCTTACCCCAGACATGTGCAATTTAATGGAGCACCAAAACACTCCTGAGAGCCACAGTCACCTCCCAGCGACAAGTTATTACAACAGCCCTCATTTCCATCAGTTCTCTCCACAGGACACACAGGACACACACGACTGCTCTTAAACACAAGCTGTGACCTGCAGATTAGGGTCAAAGCAGTCAGCCAGATGCATTAAAATCAAGAACAATGCAAATCAGGATCTTCTCAGCAAGATCCTTCCATGACAGGGAGCTCCTAAGGGGCTACAAATGTCAAAAAGGTGCAAGTCTAAATCGGCAGCGTTTGTAGAAGACTGGAGGAGCAAAGAGCATCATCTGACACATGGAAAAAGAAATCCCGAGGTTCTCACACTCCCAACACTCATACTGAAACATACTAAATCTTCATACTAGAACAAATACAAGTAAATCCACACACAGTAAGTACTTACAGAGCAAGTGAGACACAAAGCACCAAAGGCCCCCAAAGATCCCCTGGAGGTAAGGAAAAATAAATCACAAATACGATACAATGATATTTTTACATGAGTAATTAAGCACCCTTTTCCAATTGCTATGGCATCATTCCCATTATACCTCCTCACAATTTCACTATTTAGCATCTTCAGCCATATTCCATATGTCACTTCTGGAAAGCCTGCTTTCCACAAAAGCCAATTGTTCTACACTTCTCCCACGTGTGCTACTTTACAACAGCATTGCTGACCCTCAGGTTTTTCACCTCTGCTATTCTGCACTCTATGAGAACAGAGAGAACACAGAGCACACACTTCTGAGTCCCCGTCCCACAGAACCCCCCTTCCCACACACACACAAAGCACACGTCTGACATCTCACACTTACAGTCCCTGAGGAGCGCGCTGCTCTTCCTTGGATACATGACGTGGACAAATTTCTTCCCAACAGCCTTCAGATCTCTCAGCTGAAACAAAGAAGTAATTTTTATATGAAAGTTACAGACCTCAGCAGAAAGCAGAAGGACAAGACAAGAAGTAAGGCAGTATTCATAGTAACTCAGAACAGCACCCAACCAAAATATTCTGGCAGCAGACTTTGCACAAACAATGCTATGCTTTGTACGCTGCTTAAGAACACAACAGTACTGCACACCTAGGAATACCCAATAAAGACAAATAATTTGTTTGCTCCTTGTAACGCTATAATGGGATGATAATAGCAGGGTGGCAAAGTCTTTGGCAACAGTAAGTGAGAATGAGCCCAAATGCAGCTGCAATGGATACAGAAGTGAAGGAAAACAGCTGCTTACCTTTGGCAGGGCTCGGGTAGGCAGGAATCCCCAGTGAGACGCCCTCACCTCCACTGCCAACCCTTAAATGAGGGCTGGGAAGGGATGGATCCTGGCTCCATACCTTCTATCCCTCAGCTGTGCTGCATGCACCTGAGCTCCCCTGGGCTGGCCCTGCCTTCCCACCAGGTGCTCCATCACGGCTTCAGGCTGTGACTGAGCATTTCTGCTACACTCCTCTAAGAGAAGAAAATTAACTAAAAGTCCTATTTATTGGGATAGTCTTCTCCCAAGTTCCATATGCTTTCACGTATACAAAGGTTTTCAGATGGGAGAAACATTGAGGCCATAATTCAACTATTTGTGACTCATACATATTTGCACACATTTTACATAAACAATTATATGGGAAAAACAACAACAACAACAACTATCCACAACCCCCCAGAACCCTTATTTATATGTACAAGCTGAGTAAAGGCACACAAAGAAGGCAGGTTTCGCGTAGCAGTTGGCCAGAGAGCTCAGCAAAACCCATTTTATCACAGACAGGAGCAGGGAACACAGACTCACAATGGTGTCCCTGACGGGTTCATCCAGCGTGGAGAAATCTTCCTCTGGGGAATGGGACCCCACGGGAACCGTGATCTCCCCTTCCACCGGGATGTCCTCAGATATGGACACATCTGCCAGGCCTGCAAACTGAACGGATGGTGAAACCCTCAGAGTGAAGGAAACGCGGAGCAGCTCACAGCTGGCGCTTTATCAACGGCAGCGGGTGGGAGCCGCCGCTCGGAGCTGAGGGCAGCACCCAGCGCCGCCTGAGCGAGCAGCTCACGGCCTGCCATGACGCTCCGGGGGAGCAGCTGCACGCAAACAAAGCATTTCGGTTCTCCCCAGCATCTCCATTCCCCGCCTTTTCTTCCCCGCGCAGCCGGCGGTGACTGACGGACGCCGATCCCCGTTCAGCCGCACAGCGCGGCTCCGAGCACAGCGCACAGGGCCGCGCTCCGGCCCGGCAGAGCCCACGGCAGCCAGCACCGCACGCAGCCCGGCCCGCAGCCGCTTCAGAGCGGGACAGAAGCCCCGCCGTCCGTCCGCCGAACCCGCCCGCTGTCAGCACAGCCCGCAGCTCCGCACCGCGCTCACCAGAGGCTCGGCTGCCGCCGCCGCTCCGCCGCCTTCTGCCGCCGCCATCTTGGCCGCAGAGCCGACGTGGCGCCGCGATTACGTCATCACCGCGCGCTGCACCTCAGCGTCGCGCGCCGCCGGAGCGTCCGTGGTAACGAGGCTGTGCCCGTCGCGCCTCCCGGCCGGCAGGGGGCGCCGGTGCCACGCGCGGAGGGTCGGGGCCGGGGCGGGGGGCGGCGGCGGCACCGGGAGCGGCCGCGCAGCCCTCGGGCCCCGCAGCGGGCGGCTCCGTGCGGGGGCGTCGGCGAGCGCCGGGAATCGCTCCTCACTGCGGGGCGGCGCGGCGCCCACCCCCGGCCGTGCCTCAGCCCCGCGCCCCCGGAACTGCACCCCCAGCGCCGCGCCCCGCCCGGAAGCGGGGGTCGCGCTGCGCTGCGGGGAGCCGGCGGGGCGGCCGGGGAGCGGGGCGGGGCAGGGCCGGGCGGGGCCGGGGCAGGGCATGGCCGGGGAGCGGGGCCCCCGCGGCGGGGGCAGGGTGCCGTAGGGTGCCGCAGGGTGCCGCAGCCCGTCCGCTGCCGCCCCTCCCGCGGCTCCATCCCGGCCGTGCCGGCGCAGCCATGGGGCACCCGCCGCTGGAGTTCAGCGACTGCTACCTGGACAGCCCCGACTTCAGAGAGCGGCTGAAATGCTACGAGCAGGAGCTGGAGCGCACCAACAAGTTCATCAAGGACGTGATCAAGGACGGCAACGCGCTGATCGCCGCCATCCGCAGTGAGTCCCGGCTCTGCTGCCCCGCGGCTCCGCGCTGCGACCGGGATGCAATAGGGAACAATAGAACTACGACCGGTTTTTCTCTATTTCCAACGCTCTCTAAATAGGAATGCTTTTTCTGGAATATAATTGCACCTCGCTGCTTCTGGAGCGTGTGTTTCCCGCAGTGCCTTTAGGAGAGCTGTGCCTGTTGTGTGCCGGTGCCCACGCAGGGCTGCTGAGCTCCCGCACCGCCTCGCTTAAGGACGGCGGAGCTGCGCTCGGTGAAGGCGCTCCGTGTCCTTCATAGATGGAGCACGCAGGTTCCTGAACGGGGCCCCACCGGCACGGCCAGCCTCCGCAGTCACGGCATCAGAGCGTCGCAGAACTGGGAGAGCTCAGCACACAGTTCCTCTCTTTGTGCATGTATTATTTTGTTTCTTTCTGAATAACGATGAGAGTGGTATCTGAGCACACATAGACTTCAGTGCCGGCTCTAAGGGAGCTGCTCATTCAGGAGCACTGAGGCCCTCTGATCCCCAGAGGGGGTCTACTGTGTCCCAGCCCCACACCTACTGCCTTTTGTCCCCGCTTTTCCCTCTGGCACCAATGCATGTACTTTCCCAGTGCTGTCCCTCGCATCTCATCTGTTACTATAGAAGCTTAAAATAGAGCCCGAGACGCTGCTGTTAGTGCTGTGCGTGCATCAGGCCAAGGGGAGAGAGGAGAACCTGCAGTGCAGGGTGTGTGTGTGTGTGTGTGTGTGTGTGCTGCGCTCCTTGTCTGCTTGGTTTTAGTTTGTGTTAGCAGGTTTAGCAGCCACCCTTTTGTTTAGAGCAGCTCAGGGCTCTGCGTTACTGGGGCTGTGTCTGGCATAGCCTGTGTGTGCCCATCTGGAAAACAGCTGTAACAAAGGCTGGCGTGGCCCAAACACCAGCGTCAAGGTTTGGTGGGATGCTGGTGTCCTGCAGAGGAAACCAAAGATCCCTGCTCAGATCAGGAAAAAACAACAAAAGAAACAACAGCAAATCAAAACCCGGTTGTTCTCGTCAGACCTGTCTGCTCTCTAAAGGCTCTGAGCCGTTTAGGTTTTGTGTGGGAAGGGTTGTTAGCAGTCACCAGTCTTACAGTTAATGTTTACAGTGAAAGGTAACAGGTTCTCCTGTCTGTAGTTGACAACTGACACTGAAACGTAAAGAAGAAAGTGGTGGTGAGGGTGGAGCTGAGGGAAGGGTGGGAGGGGACTTGTGAGGAGGGGTGCTGTGGGACCTGGGGCTGCACCTGTGCGTTACACACGTGTAACAACCAGATTAACAGCGACGTGGTGACACAGGAGGTGCAATGACAAAAGGACCAGCGCAATGGGAAGGTGTGACAAAGAGAAAAGGAAAGTGCTCACCTGTCTCTGAAGATCTCAGCTGACAGGAAAACTCCACAAGGAAGGGATTTCCAACCAGAAGCCCTTCCCCAGGGGCACTCAGCCCTTAAATGGGGTCTGAGAGAGGTGCAGTCACCCCTCCCAATCACACAGCTGAACTGCCTTCACCTGCGCTCCCAGGGCTGACCGGTCCTTTCCCCAGGTGTTCAATCAGTGGTGCAGGCTGGCACTCAATGGTTTCCATACAACATGGCAGCATCCACATGGTGTATGGAGAGAAAGGCACGCTGGGCCTGCTGTGCACGTGTGAGCTGCTGCCAGCAGTCTGCATGTAGACCCAAGCCCTGGAACTGCCCAGAGCTGTCTTTTGTTTTCCATTTGCCGAGTCATAGGAAAAACAAGTGAGTGTGAGTCTGCGTAAGGATCTGCAGAACCCTGATTTACGGGCTGCTGCTTTGGGCTGTCAGTACCTGGTGCACACGTCCTCTCCTTGCAGAAGTGTCTGGCAAGCTGAAGTTGCATGGAGATCTTAAGTGTGTTCTGACAGAATCTGAACATGAGAATCCTGCCTGGCACCAACTTTAATGTGGTAGCAGCAGCGGCTGGGCCTCCAGTGTCTGAAAAGTGCTGTTTCAGTGACCTCCACTGAGGGTTTTTGGACTGTTCACAACAGGACTGAACGTGCTGGGTTAAATGCCTCCGGCAGGGATGTGCTGGTGCTGGGTGCACAGCTGTAACAGAGCTCCCCACGGCTGGTGCTCACGTCCCTGTCCTGCTGCAGGGCAGGCGAGGTGTGACACGAGGGGCTGGGGGCAGTGATGTGAGCCTGGTGGTCAATGCATTGAGCCCCAGCCTTTCATGGGTACAGGAGAACTGAGCGTGTCGGCATTTTCCCCCATCCATCACTGACATGTTACTCATTGAAATACAGTGTGTGAAACCCTCCTGAGCACCTACAGCCTCGGGTCCCACTGTCTGTTCCTGTGCTGGTCCCACTGCTGTGTTGCTGCTGCTGTGCTTCTTTGTCAACCGGAAAAAAGAGGGAGTTGTCTGTACACGGGACACACTGAGATGGCAAAGCAGAAGGTGGTGCCAAGCAAGAAGTAGGACTAAAGCAAAGCAAAATATTGGGCAATTGTGATGATCTTAGACTTCAAAGATAGCAAAGAAGTTACTTTGAGACAAAATAAGAGATATTTTTGTTGCAGAGTTGGCCGTATCTTTCCCTATTTGTGCCAGAAGTGCTCAGAGCTGCTGGAAGTGCCGAGTGACGGTTTCAGTCCCACGCGCTGCCCTCACACTGCAGCACGCACTGGGATGCCCTGCACTGCTGCAGCCACGGCCCCCCGAGCTGCAGGGCTGCCCCGAGCTGCAGGCAGGCGGAAGGACGAGGAGCTCCGGGTGCACTGCCGGTGTTTCTCCTCCCTGGGAGTGCCGTGCTGCTGTTCAAGGTGCAGCGCTCACCACGCAGATGTGAAAGGCAGAGAACCACGTGTGCAGGGCGGCTCTGCAGTGCCGTGCTCATCTCTTCCTTGCAGTGGCAGTGCCTGACACAAGCTGTGCGTCAGGCAGCACTCAGCGAGGCAGCCTTGTTGTCCTAGCAATACATCATTCACATCATTTTCTTTCTGCAGCTCGGTATGCTGCCTCGTCTTACTTTTTGTTGTTGTCTTGGCGGGGCTTGCAGCTTTCTTCTGTGTGTGTTGTTGTTTATGCAGAAGCATCCGTCTCTCCTGGTCTTTGATCTTCTTGTGCGATTGCATATCAGGTGGAGTTTGATAAATGTCAAGTTGAGGCTGTTTTTATTAATTGCGAGCGTTACAAAGGTCTGAGCTGGCTTTTGAAGCTGAAGAGCTTTGAGATCTCATGCAGATGTTGCATACATGCTTTTGAAATCCATTTCTGCACAGTGCGTAGTTTTGCAAATTGCTTCTGAATTTGCATGCCAGTTAAGCAGCTTCTCCAGGCAATGTGAGCATTTCATCCTGGAAAGACAGCGCTATGCAGGAACGCACAGAGGTGTCTGTGCCTGCAAAGTGATTTGTACCAGAAGAGAGCAGACAGGTGTTTGTCTCCACAAAGCAGCTGCTCACATCCATCGGTGCCATGCAGCAGCCCAGCAGCACTGCTTGGCATGGAGCTCTGTGCCACCAGAAGTGCAGGGCTGTCAGAGCTCTCAACAGATCCATGTGCTGCCATAAGGGACAGTGCTTGAGGATTCAGTGCTTCTGAGTACAGAAAGCAGTGTGTCAAGAATGTGAAATACTGTAATGAGATTAAAGCAATCCTGGAGTGCCTGTCTGATTCCTGCAGAGCCCCATGTGCTATTTCATGTGAAGTCTGTAGACAAAGGCTCGAACCCCTTGAGCGAGATTTCTGGCTGTTGGCACGGTGTCTTAGATCCAGACACTGTTTTTTCTCTATGTGTGAGCAAGGCTGAAGCTCCCCTGCAGAAGGGAGGAAGAGGAAGGCGCTCCATGCCCGGCGTGCCCCTCGGCTGCTGGCACTTGGAGTGCTGGAGCTGTGTGGGCTGACGTGAGCTCTGTGCTGGGCGCCGAGGTGCTGGCAGTGAGATGCTCTGCACAGAGCATGAGCCAATGCTGCCTTAATGGATGTGCACGGAACCCCTCTGTGTGTGTTCACAGAGCCCCTCCGTGGGGATGCAGTGTTCCACGGGGGGGCACAGAGCTGATCCATGTGGGGATGTGAGCCCCAAGTCTCACAGAAAGCCGTTCCTTCAGCTGCCCGTGGGGAACCTGGAAGCCAAGCAGGGTTTGTGTAAATCGTTCACTGGTCAGGTGTGTGTGAAGAGCTGCTGTGCACCCAGGATCGTTGTGCTGCTTAAACACGGCTCTGTTCTCCTCTCCTCTGCTTGTATCCTCGCACTTCCCTGTGCTCAGAATCATAGAGCCACTCAGGTTGGAAAAGACCTTAAGGATCATCGAGTCCAGCCACGACCTAGCAAAGTTCCCTGGCTCTAATGACCTTCCACCCAACCAGCGCTCGGGCAGCGCTCAGAGCTGTGCACGGAGCTGTGCAGGAGCAGACCTGCGGGGCTGGGCAGGTGCTGGGAGCGTGGGCCGGCTCTGCTCAGCCTGGCCTGTCTGCCTGCCCTGTGTTTGCCATTGCAGCAGCACAGGGACTCGTTATCAGGAATGATAAAAGCAGCTTCCGAGGAATGTGTTTGGGATGCAGAGCACTGCAGGGAGCCTGTCTGGAGCTGCTGTCAGAGCAGGCGGCTCCGAGTGCTCCTGCGTGAACTGCTTCAGTCCCGTGTCCAGAGCCCTGCCTTTTCACAGCCCGTGAGGTAGGGGGCTCTGGGAAGCTCCTGAGGCACAAAGCTGCTGTTTGCCCCCGATGCTTTCTCTTTGGCCTGTTCCTGAAGCAGGGAGCTGCCTTGGGATGTCCCTGGGGCAGGGATGGCTCACTGCCATAGGAACACCTTCCCCCCTCTTTCCTGGAGTGAGTTACGATATAGCAGTTCATGTTAAGCTGTTCCTGGACTTCTGCAGGGGAAAAATGACTTGCTGGAAAATACAGCACTCCCCTCCAGCAGTACTATCTGCTTACATTTTCCTGCTCCTTGCTGCTCTTCTTCAGCCAGGGCTGCTCGGATGCCCACTGGCACGTGCTGAGAATTCCTTCCTTGCTTGGCTATTGCAGCCATCATTTTCCAACACTTGTCCTAGCCCTAATAAGAAGGCTTTCAGAATTGTGTGGAGTTACTATTGATAACTTTAATTTTTTTCTCCTAATTTCTCAGCTTTTATTGTCTGAAAAGATAGCAAACCAGCTTAAAAACAGTAAATTACATATGGGACACCTCTTCGATCCAGCAGTTTACACTCTGTAAACTAAGGGTGTCGAGGACGTACTAACAAGGACCATTCACATCTCTGCCTCAAAGAGCACAGGAAGAGAACGAGAGCCTTCACATAGCTTTGAAGGGAGCTGCGTGCTCCTGAGCCCCTCTGTGCAGCGTCCTGCTGTGGGGTGGGATGGCAGCAGGGGCAGCAGGCACGGCTCAGCACATGCTGTGTGTCTGTACGGCGTGCTGCAGTGCTGGTGCGAGCAGGGGGTGAAAGTGCTTTGGCTTTGGGTCGCTGATGTGGCTGGATGTGCGTAAAGGTATCTGGCACACCTGGTTCCTCTCACCGAGAAATCTCATCATTTTTCTCCTTGGGACCTACCTCTGCCTTCCTGAGGGAGTGGAACTCGAGCCCTAGTGCGATGCTGAGGCAGTGCTTGGCTTACAAAGCACTTTGTGTGTCCGTATGGCAGCACAGCGGAGCTGCTCCCGTGCCACTGCCAGCTCTCCCTGCTGAGCACTTCTGTTCCTGTGCCGCGTTCAGGCAGGTGGATGAAGGGGGCTCCCCAGCAGGCAGCAAAGGAGCTCATTTTCCTGGGATTTAGGCGCCGTGCACAGAACCGGAGGTCACAAGTTGGTGTAAATCTAAAACAGATATGCCTTAATCAGAAGCTAACCAACGAAGAAAACAAAGCAAGCTGCCACCAAAATCTAATCTGCAGAAGCAGGCAGGAAGGAAAAGGAGCATGCACAGTATCTGTGTGCTCCAGGAGTGAGGCAGAGCTTTCCCTTGGGCTGGAGCTCCTTGCTGTGCATTTGTTAGGTTTTGTTTTGCTGCTGAGCCGGGCGGCCTCGTGCCCACGCTGCAGCTCTGGGCAGGGCTGCTTGCTGCTGGCTGCAGGCGCCTCCTGGGGAGGGTCTGGGGTGGGAAGCACCGGGCAGCTCTTCCTGCCTCTCCCCGTCCCCTGGCGCTGCAGCACAGATGGTGCTGGAGCGTGTTGTGGTCCAGTGTCATCCTGCTTCAAGCGAGCCAACACACAGTATTTTGGGGGGGCTTTTCCCAGCCCGGGTTTGCACCCCAGTCTACTTCCCAGTGCCGTGCCATGCAGGAAAGCAGCACCCATTGCACAGGGAGCTCAGCCAGCAGGCACACAGCCACCTGCTTTCCTGGGAAATGGGGACGATCACAGTGTGAGAGCCCTGAGATCAGCTGCGAGCGTGGTGACGCGGGCAGGATCACAGCACTGGGGAGCTTTCATGTGTGTAAGTGCGTTTGCTCTTCTGC